AAGAGAGACATAGACATAAAGGCCGGAGAGTACAACGGCCGAAACGTTGTGAATATGGCAATGAAGATGAGGATAACAGTTCGAATAATGTAAATAATGTAATCATAATACTCATCTCAGAGATATAAACAGATATATAGAGAGACATAGACTCAGGTCAAAGGCCGTAACGTTGTGAATATGGCAATGAAGATGAGGATAACAGTTCGAATAATGTAAATACGCAAGAAAATCTCAGAGATATAGACAGATATGTATAGAGACATAGACATAAAGGCCAACGGCAGAAACGTTGTGAATATGGCAAAATGAAGATGAGGATAACAGTTCGAATAATGTAAATAATGCAAGTAATCATAATACCTCATCTCAGAGATATAGACAGATATTGAAAATACAATTCCAATCACCTGAAGAAGGCTGGAGCGTTCAACGCCCGAAACGTTGTAAATATGGCAATGAATATGAGGATTACTATTCGAATAATGTAAATAATGCAAATGCGGCGGCATCTGTTTTAATTATAAGCATTTAAAATAATATGAAAATGAATTGTTAAGCTGATGTGGAAAGCTGCCAAAATGAAGTCTTAAAAGAAGAAATTGTCGAATCACACGAACATGGAAGGCGCCTTAAAATTAATAAAAAGAAGAAAGAAATGGCGGAAGAATTGTTCTTTTATTTCAATCTTCGTAATCATGATTATTATTTGAACGGCACAGTCGGATTTTCTTTCTGCTAATTAAGATATTTTCAGAAAATATTCATTCAATGAAAACTTTTTTTTTTTTTTAAAATTGAATAATTCAAATAACACGTTATTGTCAATAGCGCCGACCTGCAGTGTTCTACATCATCTGTCTCAGTCTCCACATATCTATCTATGCATATATCTATCTATCTCACACACAGACGCACACGCACACACACACAAACATATATATATATGTGTGTGTGTGTGTGTGTGTGTGTGTGTGTGTATGTATGTGTGTCTATCTGAGTTCAAATGCATACACACACGCACATATATATAGATAGATACATATATATATATATATATATATATATATATATATATATATATATATATATATATATATATATATATATATATATATATATATATATATATATATATATATAATGGACTCTCCCATCGGTTTCGACGTATGAGGATCTGAGAGCTTTATTAAGTTATGAAATTTTGTGCGATAATCTTAAGTGGCACTTAAGACCCGGTAGTGATTTACACAGGAGGCCACATATGGAGCTAGAGTAAGGATTTTGGGATGAGATCACTGTTTGATTGACTGACCTTTCAGATTTTGCTCTCGCTTCTGAAGACGATTCAGACAATATATATATATATATATATATATATATATATATATATATATATATATATATATATATATATACATATATATGACTCAGTCTATTCCCATCTATCCATCTACCTCAATCTCTTTATATCTACCTATATGTCTCTTTCTCTCGATGTATCTATCTCAGTCTCTTCATTTTATCTATCAATCAGCACATTATCTATCTATTTCTCTTAGTCACATCATATATATATGTATATTTATCAATATCTATCTATCTCTCTATCCTAGCATCCTCATATATATGTATCTATATATCTCAGTCTCTTCATCTCTATCTATCTATCTATCTCCTCATATATATATATATATATATATATATATATATATATATATATATATATACCTCAGTCTTTTCATATTTATCTATCGATCAATCTCTCGATCTATCGCATCTTGTGGCTCCAGGTCTCTGTATTCAGCCCTTCAAAAAATCTGGGAGGTTATGCAAAAGCCTCGATATTATAAAAAAAACCTCGTTATATATATATATATATATATATATATATATATATATATATACAGAAGGATAATAAGAATAACATGGAATTAACATATGAGCAACGAGGATAATTTATTTTCAAAACGGGAAATAGAAATATATTCATATTTAAAATCAGAAAGAGAACATGATGAGAAAGAACGACTTGGTAAATTTAATACTCCCATGACGTATTGGGGTTAAGTGAAACAGCAACTAATTTGTCTAATGAGATTCTGTAAATGGATCAAGTTATGATAGTTAAAGATCAAAGGTTACTTAGACCTACAAGGACAGGAAGTTGTGAAGAGCCATGATCACACAAGTCCTGGAAAGGCATGGCACATATTTTGAGGTGATCTTTAGCATTCACGATTCCGTTGATGAAATGAGGCTCATTATTGCCACTCGAACGCATACAAATCGACACCTTGACCTTTCCACTGGCATTTTTAGCTGTTAAGACCCAACACTTTCCTCATAAACGGTAGGCTTTAGTAAGGCGGCTATCAACATTTTTTTTCTTTTCT